CGCTGGTTTAGCTCAGTGGAAAAAGGAGGCAGCCATATGGCTAAAAGCTAGCCCGGATTTGAGTCTGATCTGCGGCCCTTTGATGCAGGTCTTCTTCCCTCTTCCTTGGCCTCTGCTTTCATGTCAGTCTTCACTGTACCTGTCCAATGAAGCCATAAAAGCACTTCTATGAAGTATGCATGTTCTGACTCCCCCCCCCAACCCCGAGCTATTCCATCCCAGAAATCAAGCACATCATGTTGACCATCTTTTTCTGCATACAAACCCCAGGAAATGTGAGAGATGCCATTGGTGGAATTTCAAGTGTTTTAATAGCAATTTTGCAGTATTCAGTCTAGCATTAACCATCTTTTTCTTACATCTGTAAAGTAGACCTCAGTGGCATATATACACAACCTCTGCAATGCTGGAAAAGCCAGTCCCGATTATTGAAAACAGCAGCTGCTGTGTGATGCATTAAATGTGACATTTGTGTTATTTATTTGTTAGTAACAAACCAAATAGATTTTCAAAGTCCAGACGCAAATCCACTTTAAATATTTTCCTAACAGTGAACTGCAGAGCATAAGGTTTCTGCTATGCTATGTAAAAAGGTTTATAATTATATTTCAATTTTTTCTAAACATGATTTAATGCATTTATAAAAAGCAAACACTGCCTTTTCTCCTCACTGATACAGAAAACAAAAATGGAGAAAATTAGATGTTTGACTGTTCTGCATTATTAGAGATTTGATATGACAGTCAGCACAGATCCGGTCAGCACAACACATGAGGCCAATGAGAAGATCAGGCAGTTCGCCAAGCCCTGCAGAAAGAAAGTGGGAGAAGTTAATCATCTGAGGATGATTTTTCTCAGAAACATTTAATTAAAAATTCTTCCTTTTGGGATGGTAAATGCCTTCCTGATCAACTGCAGTTTAACTTGATATTGTTTAGAATCTCCCCTTTGTAAATGGCACACTTACATGCAAGCCTTTGAGCTACTGTACAGTCAAGAAACAAGACTAGCTAATATTTTGATCGTTACCTTAATCTCTTTAAACACCAGGCACCCCCACAGAGCAGCAACCAGACCATAGCCCTGAAGAAAGGAAACCAAACAAGCTGTTTGAGCTTAGACCATTGACTTGATGAAACTAAAGTACCAGCTTAAAAGAACAGGATATAAATGGGTTAGCCATTTGTTCCAACAGTGTCTGATCCGTTTAGCACTTTTAGCTGTGCATACACATCGAACATTCACTAAAGATTCAATGCAATAGACAATCTAGGATATTTAAGCACTAATGGCTTTTTCCATGTATGAAGGATACACTTAATTGATCTTGTTGCAACATGCTTTACCCCAGCTACATTGCTTCTGGGGAAATGCAATTTGATAGGAAAGCTGCAAATTGTAGCTCAATAGCTTATGTCTTCTATGATGTGAGATGTGATGATCCATGTGCTCAGGTGTTTGTTTTTTTTTCCCCCTGTTGGAGTTCATTCTGGGGGAAGTTGTGTCCCCCCCCCTCATCATCTTTCCTCATGTTGTGCATTTTCCATTGTTTCAGCTTGGGTCGCTGCTCGTGCCAACGACCGGTCAGTGAAACCTAGCCTGACCTGTCTCCCCAATGTGATGTTTTTGTATTGTATACAAAACAAGGTCGACAAGGTATCATCTTAATTGCCCTTGGGGATAAATGAAGTCTCTCTGACTCTGACACACCCTTAAAATGCTGTCAGTATTTTAGATCCAACTTCTTTTGAAAATATCCATGTAATGCAGAACAATGTGAAAACCTTCAATATCAATCTGCAGTCCAAGTGGTTTCAGAATGTTCATTGTTTTACTTATTAATTGAATCCTCCCAGCTGTCAGAATATGTTGCACTTACCACTGTGACAATTGGGAATGTAATGACAGAATTCAGGTAGTTATTGGCCAGGAACCAGCAGTATGTCCCAATTGCCCACATCAGTCCAGACAACAGACCTGAAGAGCAAGAGGAGACCGTAAGGTACTTATGTTTGAGTAAAAATGCATTAAAAAACAAAAACAAAACAACATTCCTATGATTCCTTTGATCTAGAAAGAAAAAACAAAAAAACAAAAACCAAAATAAGAGATTAGCAATATGAACACAGTGTGTGTCTATGAGTCGCCACAGGACAAGTGACATGCCGTTATACGATCTCCCTATCGGAAGATTGTTGGCAGGAGGTCTTACGCAACATAAATATGCTTTTTGTTAATTCCCGTCATTGCCTAATTCAGTATAAAATTGTACACAGGTTACATTACTCAAGGGAAAGAATTCACAAAATGTATCCAGACTGCTCTCCCTTCTGTGAGAAATGTATGACACATTATAGAAATCTGTTACATAGTTTTGTACTTTGTCCAAGGCTTCAGGGTTTTTTGTTTGACATTTTCACCATTTTCACTCTAATATTCTTAACCCCCACATTTTTTACTCTCTATTTCTCTATGTACCTTTGGAACTAGCTTGGTTCTAAAAAGGTACACATCTCAGGGTGTCATAAAATATGCTATTTAACCAACAAAAAACCCCCCAAAAAAACAAAAACCTGCCATACCAAAACCACACAGGAAGAGGTTAAAATTAGCTTTAAAAGATTTTTTTCCCACAAGATTGACCTGCTGTGTATTTTTGGGTAAAGTCGTACCTTTTGTGTCTAGTCCATCTGACAACCCTGACCATTGAAAAAGTGACAGTAAAGGGCAACCTGGCACAATAAGTAGTAATAACAGGGTGACGCTGATCGACTGCCAGTATACAAGTAGGGTGTGAACCTGAACTCAGAAAGTAAACAAAACTATGGAAGCTTGTTTCCACTTTTTTGCCATACATACATCACATAATCGCAAAATTGTAACTATTCAAAATTGGAACGCTGAGAAAACAATTTAAAAAAACAAACAAACACACACACACAAACTTTAAGCTTCATGTCACTGAATATACATTTTAGAAAAATTTGGACTGACATTCCCCCCCTCCAGTCATGGGAAAGGAAAAAAAAACAAACAGAAAACAAAACGGCTACTGAAAGTTTTCATACAAAGTGCATGTTCATAAACACTGGAGAAAAAACAAAAAAGGCTAGAGTAATTTAAAAATATAAATTCAGTCTCTTCAAGGAAACACATTGATTGCTTGTTCACAATAAATCATCACTCAGTAACCTGAGTAGAATTCCAAATTAGTTCCAAGCAGCCCAATCATTAATTACTAAAGATCACGGTCATACAATAGGCTTTGGAAGAGTGCCTTTTCAGAAATAATGTTCTACCTGGAAGTACAGCTCTGGAGTAAAGCTTTGGCTTTGTATTCATGGCAGCACAATAGATGGCAAAGTACACAGTGCTTGCAATGAAAATACCACAGCAGTGTGCATGAACATAGTCGAGATCTGTGAAAAGATAGAAACGGGAATTAAGTTGGAAATATTACACCTGGTTCTCAGGAGGGACTAGTATTTCATCAAGCAGCAACTGGATCCATCCTTAAATCTATGATAAATGTATTTTCTTCAATACTTCCTTCAAGCCAGCTTTGCAAAAAAAGAAAAGAAAAAAAAAGTGCAGCATAAAGTGGTACCTGAGTAGAAAACATACCGTAGACACTGGATTCATAGAACATGCTGTCATGGTGCACAGAATTGCTCTTAATGTACAGGACCGGTATGATGGAGAAAGCATACATGAGGCCCGCCACAACAGCAAGGAGAAAACCACTGGTGAAAAGGAGGCAGAATACATTGAGGAACTGGATGAAGAATGCATTTTAAATCTCCACTGATACATCATTCAATTTCTATGGTTAATTCCAAGATATTGCAAAGAGCCGATAAAAACTGACAGCGCTTGGGTAAATGGGTATGCAGGAAAACACAGCACAAAAGTGATGTTATTTTTGCACTCTGTTTTCTTTTACATTTATTGAATATCGGCTGTGACTGCTACATTTACTGCCTGGTGCTCACATTTTAAGTCTTTTTCTGCTGCTAAAACAAAAACTCACAGTAAGAGCAAGGTTGTCATGTGTGAAACTGTTTTTAGTCATGACTTAAAACTTGTTACACCTAAAAACCACACTGGCAGGCAGCTTCTAAACAAATAATTAAGACCTTCATTTAAAAGATGCAATGTAAATGAATTGTTTTACTTTTTATTACTTTTTTAATAATTAAAAAGCATAAAATTGTATTCATTCATCTATGATTTAAAATCCATGACAGAGTGGCTGCTGTAGCCATTGTTTGTCAGCAATGAAAAATGCTAATAGTAATAATGCACACATCTGAGAGGCTCCTAATGAGATGAGCTCACATGAATCGTTTGCTCTTTGGTCCAATAGTGTCGATCCAGGATTCAGAGGAATTTTGTCCATAGCTTCCTGAATTTGTTCTCTGCAAAGAGGAACATCGACCCAATTTGTATGTACACCACACAAAATACATGATAAAGTGATGACAGGCTTTAAGACAAAGTAGTTTTTGCCTTGAGTGAATAGGAAGAAAATAAAAAGAAAGTATTTTCTAAAATCAACCTACTTCGACAACCTGATAAAAATAAGTCAGTGACACACTCACTCTGTCAATCAGTAATGGAATTGTTTCTGAACTGTGAAGTAGCTCTACATCCGCTTTCACAAAGAAAAAGATCAGCCCACTGAATCAAAGGAGGGAAAAAAAGTGTCATGTACATCCAGCTGATATGGTTTGAAAAATGACAGCAGCAGACAGTAGCCATCACTGTTTTTGGGTGGGGGTAAATAAACAACACAGGCTGGGTCATTACAATTCCAAACGCGGTTTACCTTAGCAGACACAACCCAGCTCCACAATAATTTAATATTGGATGTGAAACGTTCTGTGCAGCAATCCCAAACCAGCCAAATCTAGGACAGACACAATCAGTGACCAATTCAGTTATTTTTCATTCAATCCAAGTCATGCAAAGACAGGATTATTTTATTTACAATCCAGAGTGTACATTCCATTAACTCAACTCACCTTGAACTGGCCCAGCCCATCAACAAATTAGAGGATCCCGAAATTAAGATGCCAAGACCAAGGCCAATAGCTTTAACAAATGGAACAACTGCTACATTTCCTGTAGACCATATGGATAGATGGAAGAAGTTAACATGTAAATGTTACTGACAAAGTTAGGGTTGCACCATTTCCATTGCTATATCTGAATGCAAAAATGTATTTTATTTATTCACTTCTCATTAGTACATGGAGTCTAACTGACCCAGGAGTCATTTCCAGTCCCCTCTGAAGTCTTCCCCAAACCCCAGCCTCAATTCATACTCAAGCCATCTACCCTCATCGACTATCAAATGCTATCAAACCTGAATGAGGATCTAGTGAATATCTGATATTTAGAGATATTCATGAAACAAACAGTCTGTGTCCATCTGTGGCACTTGATTCTGTCTAGTAAGGTATGGCAAAGATTATGATGAAGCAGTTTTCAATTCAATTCATGTTAAATTCATTTTTAAAAAAAAAAAAAAAAAAAAAAGCGTTTTGATCTGGCAAATCTGAAAACCCTGGAGAACTGCAATGTCCCAGTTCTTGCCTCAGCAACTATGTCACACTATTCCCTGAACAGTTTGTTGTTTAACAACATGACTAATGAATACTCGCCACTACAAAAGTTTTAGGGACATTTTGTATTGCACTCTAAATACCCATTGATCTGTTCAACGTTAAGCACATAGCATTATGAATTTAAAGCATGAAATTGGGTCACACTGATTTCACCCCTAAAACTGTTCACATGTCCAACAAGGGACTATTAATAACCTAATTTTAGAACAACATCCTGCTGGACACCAGAGTCCAGTTTCCGGAACCTTTGGCATTAAACTATTTGTTGTTAAATTAGAAAACAAACAAACAAACAAACAAACAAACCCTCAACTTCCACAATACCTGTGGCCCAAAGCACACCTCCAAGCATTGCAAATGGGCAGAACTTGGGTGACTGAAGCATCAAGTCTCCAAACATAGATACAACCCATATTGCTGCACAGGTAACCCACTGAAAAAACATACCTGTAAATAAAACAAAGATAAATGGTATCAAAACTTTGCAAAATAGTGTAGATTTTCCTCACTTGAAAAGTAAACATTTAAAATGGAGCTTTCGTCCAAAAATAACACAAATAAGAATATCCAAACTCTCAGAAAAATAAACAATTATATGCTCACCATCGCCAGTCTCTACTCTTTTGACAGGAACGAAGTTGCTTCCATACAAAAATACAGCAGCCATATTTGCAGTAATTCCATAGGCAAAATGTGAGATAGCCCTAGATGAGTTAAAAGTAATATTAAATGATTCCAGTTCACCGGTTCCATCATTTTTGTAGCCATCTTCTGCACCTGTAAAGTTTTTACAGCAAGAGGTTAAAGAACAAATCTGACTTCAAACAAAAAGCTAACCTAATGCAACCACACGCAGCCCCTATTCATCACAGACCAATTATACTTTACAAACCTTCAGCGATTTGACAGCTCGCAATCAATAAGGCAGAGACGAATAAAAGAAAAAGTAAGGATTTTGCTTGGAGCATGTTAAAACAGAATATTTGTTTTGCTTTTGATAATTCAGGTCTACAACATTAAAAACTGCTGGAGGCTGTCTGTGTCTGCAGTGGTAAGTCAGCCAGGTGCTGCCAGTTATCTAATCACTTTGTAACACAACAGCTGCAGAGGATGTAGCGCATATATGCATATACTTACAGACAAGAAAACGCACAACCATGAGGGCTTGTCATCATGTCTGTTTTCTGGAGTAATTTATCTTATGACATTTAAAATAATCCTGTTTATAGTATTTGCTTATTTATAGCCGACAGTGTATATATTTATATACACTTATTTTAACTATACATCGTCTAGTTTAGGCCTACTCTTTGTCGGCCATGAATGACAAGGAAAACAGCACTTAGATTAGATTGACGAGCTCTATTGGTCACAACTATTGTAATTCATAAAAGGAAATCCTGTAGGCTAAGTGGACTGGTGCGCCCACCCCACATTCTCTCAACACCTAAGGAAATTTTTTACTGTTATTGTGTCTCCACAACGTAAACAGCTTTGGGAGTTGCCATGAAGAATTAGGGTCGACATCAGTATACCACCAGATGTCGCCTGAAACGCATACAAATAATATGTAGCGATCAAATATTTAGTTTTAAACTATTTCATTTTCAATCTAGTTAATGTTGTGTAGTGCTTAACTTCCTTATTTCAGTTTTTGTAAAATATGTCTATATCTCGCGTAAGTTCAAAAACACGTTTACATTACCCCTTATAAACCTTCATTAGGAGTTGTGGTGTACCCTAATGGGCTTCGATGTGGATTTTAATAGCGTGACATAGAAATATCAAAGGTTAATTTAGGGATATTGCAGTGCACTTGATCAAGTTTGAATATCACATGGCCTGTGTGTGTTTTATTTTCGGGGCTGAATTATTAATTAAAAAACAAAAACTTGATAATTTAGGCTCTCATTGGCCAAGTCTGTACCTGAAGAGAAGGAGAGAAAAAACTATAAGGTTTAAATTGCTTCTCATTTCCGAGAAGGGTGGTATCCAAGCATGACCCTCCATTCACTGCGCAGTTGTGCCCTCCATTCTACTCACAGAAATCCTCGGAAGTTTTGCGCTCCTCCCCAGTAAGAGTTTGTCGCAAAAAGGACAAAGTCGTGATAATGACATAAATTCTAATGGGGAAGTCTGACTTTTGTTGGCTAAGTTTCCCTATTCTAAAACTGACCGGCAACTTTCGCAGGTGCCCTCTTTCAAAAAGAAGTTTGATAATTGCGTCTGTCTGTGTAATCTATCTGCTTTTTGTGTTTTCACAAGTTGGATACTCGCAACTGCACCGGAGCCGAAGGATTGATGAGAAGTACCGGCACACCCGTGGATTGTATAATTTGGAGATCAACGATGGCCAGCCACACTCTCCAGACTTGCAGAACGATTCGAGCTTCATAGTCCCGACTCGCTACAACGTGGTGTACATAACCTTAAAAACTAAGCGTCGAAAACCAGCACATATAAGAGGTACAGTCCGACCCAAAGTGAGGAGAAAAGGGAGAAAAAATAAGTCTTCCAATCTGTCTTTTACCCAGGACAAACTTCGCACTTTGGAGGGGGATGCGTTACAAATTAAGCGCAACTTTGCACCCATACCTTCACGGAAGGAAGCCATGGATGTTGACTATAAATCACTGGATATAAGCCATAAAATTTATAAACATAAAGAAGCAGACTCTCAGATTAGTTCAATTCGAATATACAGTCAAAGGCCGCCACCATGGTTCAGCGCACAGGATATGAAAACCATGCGCTTTCTTGCGGATGCCAAAGTTTTGCGCATGAAAGAAGTCTCTCATGGATACGCTCTTTCGCTTCTGATATTTGAGGGTGAGACAAACGTTCAACAGGCGAACCAACAGCACGCAAAAACGAGCACTGTATGCGGAGGGCAATGTGGAGTCATCCACAGCCCGGTGGATACCACAGAGGTTTTTGCTTTTCATTTGGACAGAGTGCTGGGGCTTAATAGGACGTTGCCAGCTGTAAGCAGAAAGTTTCGCTTTTTATACGGTAGGTCATCAAGCACATGGACAAAGTTTTCTTTTTTGACACTTGTTAAAAATATACGGTTTTGTTTATGGTTATTCTAACTACATTGCCTGGTTTCATCATGCTAAGAATACTGTGCAAATGTCACTACAGTATCTATTGATATAGCGACAGAAACTGCAACCTACAGATTAGCCATACCATAAAAACTGTTTATTTGTTACCTTAACCCACTAATGGGGTCTATGTGAAATACAGATTCATTCAGGCTTGGAATCAAGAAGAACCTTGTTCTTTGGGGGTGGACACCAAAACGTCACCTGCACATTGTGTCCTCGTGGATGTGATATTTTTTTAAGTCATTGAGCAAGACTACCTAATCCTAATTCATATTCAATGGAAAAACATTATTCACATTGCTCATTGTCATTTTATAACATTAATAGTAAAGAAGGAACAAAAACTGAGGGAATACACATTTTATACACATATTCAGGGGAAGAGAGGACCAAAAAGTAGCCTACCAACATCCTCCTTTTTCATAAATAGCGCAAATAATGTATTTTACATGATGACGTCACAAAGTGTAAGCCCAAGGGTTTAAACAGATTTTGGGGCCATATTCAGCTAGTGACAGGATACCTCTGCCCTCTTTCCTCATTTTCTTGCATAACCATTTTTTTCCATCTATGGGAAATGTCTGTCTCTTTTTATTTTTAGCATAATACATTTAGAAATATTTTTACATGTCTATGAGTTAGTTCATTATTTGGTCTTGGGGTGCAAATATGATAATCGGTGTGTGGACAGTCTTCATCATTGCAGGGAATAAGTTCTGGTAACATGAGTGTAAAAAGTGTTTATAGACTTTTTCTGGTTAATAACAGAAACAGCTGCTAAAATCTAAGCATGTAATTATTCTTTCTTCCCTCTTTAGATGGGCAGTCCTGTCCAGTTGTGTCATGGGATGCATCTCTATACCCAGCAGGCCTTGCTGCAGGTTTGACCAGTTTGAAGTTAACATGGGGGGAGTACCAGAACTCCCTTAAACAGAGATGTTGGCAACAAAACATCAGCCCAAAGTCTGATTCTGGCTGCTCTGCAATTCATCACTATGAATGGAGCAAACTTGCTCTGTTTGACTTTTTGTTACAGGTAACTGTTAAAGAAAATGTGCTCCAATATCTGATTAAGAAAAACAATTCTCAGTGGTATTGTCATTTGGCTGAAGAGAGCTCTTGCTTCCTGTATGGGAGGCCTCAGTAAATCACATTTTATGAGAACTACTCATTTTACCCCATCATCATGACAGAGAAACCAAAGTAGACAGACGAATCTTAAAATACTTATTCGGAAACACTGACAATCTTTATAAGTTAAATTGTCTGTTGAGGTCATGGTGGCACAACTTTGATCATTCACATATATTTCCTCATTGTTACAAAACATCTTGTCAAAGACATTAGTGAACTGAAAAGAAACTCCTCTCTTATCACAAAAGTACTTTTTTTAAATTCTGACTTAGCCTCTCATTTTGTAGATCAAAATGCCTGCACACCAAAGTTAATGTAACTCATACAGTTCCTCTAACAACAACTAGCATGACATGAAGGAAACTGAGAATGTCTATATATATATATTTTTGCCTTGTTTTATATTTCAAATAAAATAAATTTTAAAACCAATAATAACTTCCAATGAGTTTTAGTCTAACTTTATTATTATTAATATTATTGTTGTTATTATGGCAATTGAGTTTTCTGTTAAATGTAACACACCAGCACCCTACAGTGTTAAGGCAGACGATCGTCTTAGATATTTGAATAACTAATAAATTCTAATTTTTCATCAAGTCAAGCTACAAATAACATTTGTATTTCTGTGACAGCTCTGGAAAAGCTCTGTTTTATTACTATTAGCTGCATGGATGCTTGTTTGCAAGGTAATAAGGATCTATTTAATTTTTGTCCAATTCAAAGCCTTACAAATGCTTATTCATCCAGGTTACCCTAAACCTCAGGCCTCAGAAAACCACGCCTGTGAGCAGCATTTAGTCCCATCTAAATCTATGTGTGACATTTCAGCTTGTCTTACTCTGACAGCACTGTCTGAAACCTCCACAACTCAAGTGATTTCACATAAAGGATTAAGAATGGATGAGGGCTGTAGCTAAATATAGGGTTGTCATTCCCTGTGGAGAAGCCTGATATACTTAAGTGAGTTTCCTGTACAGTCATGTGACTCAGCAGTCTACATGACTAGTTGATGTTGATGTCCAGTAAACTAGTGGTACAATAGAGTCAGTGCAATTGCCAGCCCTCTAGGTTTGTGTGCTTTCACTGCCAGCTGAATGTTATCTATTCATGAAATTATTATTTAGATCATGATAAAGAGAGATCATCAGAAATGCAAAGTAAACGCATTCAGAGTAAAACTGTGCTTACCTTTGTCATTAAAAATATAAAAACGCAAAAAAAAAAAAACATTGAATAAGAAAACTCTGTGAATGCCACTCTGAACTGCACTCTTAGTCTCAAAATATCATCTCCAAACATTTAATGAAGAAATGTGTGAACTGTATTTTTAGATTAACAACCGCCTGGACCAGGGTTGCTGTGGGTTCAGGCCTCGGCAGCAGGATGTGTGCATTGAACTGGGTTACCATGCTAAATGTCAAGATGCTAACCACATACAGCTAGAAAACATCATCTACAGGAGCCACAACCCCAGACACCTGGTCTTCACCAACAACAAGGGATTCTTTGACCGTAATGAGGACAACTTGGACTTCAGGCTGTTGGCGGGAATCAAAGAGTAAGTTTGGAGCATTAACATGAATTAATAATTAATTAACCTGTTTAAATATATAATGTTTTAAAAAAACATTATATATTCCTACTACTATATATTCCTAGCCTAAAATACAGCTTTAATCCCTTGGCCATGCAGTGTTGAATAATGAAATAGATTATATGATTTGTTTATTATGAGCTATAGATCAAATTAATTTCAATCAGATGTTTACAAATAATTATATATCAGAAAAAGGCCAGAGGCTGAAACATGTCCTTCAAGTGATAAAGCTGCTGTTTATACTACAAGTGTTGTTTGAGCTTCAATGTCTTTAAAACGATTACACACTGAAAACTGTGCAAGCAACAAGTAATTGTGTAAATCCAGTTTGCTGTTTACATATAGATCAACTTGTTTAAAAGTAATAATTTCTCAGACAGTCTTCTACATTTGTAAAAAAAGAAAAAAATCTGCACAACATTCAAAACAATGACCCTGAGTTGTGTATTGGTGTACTTATTTTTTGAGATAAAAAAATGTCCACACAGAGTAGGAACATCTATGGACAGTCTGGATTTAGCTGCTTTCAGCAGCTGTTTTTCTCATTTCCGCCCTTGACAACATATTTGAAAATTTCCAGCACACTCAACAAGCAAATTTAAATCTCCATCTGGGATCTATGCCAAATCTGCTCGGAAACTCTGAATTTGGTTCACAGTAATTGGCCAACCCACACACAAATCAGTGACTGCAGGTTGTGAATTTTTAAACTTTAAAGTTAAAAGTGTACTTTATGATTTAAAATTTTCAATTCTAACTTATAATGTTACAATACTTTAAATGTTAAAAAAAAAATGGTAGTTTGCAGGTCGAGTGTGCAGTTTGTGAAGAAACACATGCCAAAAGACATCTTCTGCATTATTAGACATCCCATGGTGAGAACACATCGCTTTATGCACCACAGGTCTATGTGGATTTGTAAACGTACACTTCACAGGCATCCCTTTCATTTCATCCATCCTTTTGATCAATAAATCAGGGACTCGCTAAGGAGACAGCAGAGAATCTGTGGTATGGCAAGAACATGTTTGTGAATGTGACACATAATGTGAATCCTTGTTTTCACCAGCAAAAATGTACCTTCCATTCTGGCATTCATGTAAGATAAAGCCATAAAAGCTAAATTCTAAATAAAAGACGATGAAAGATCATAGGATACAATAAATATCTATTTTTCCCATTGTAGTGTACATTTCAGTGGTTTTCTGTAATGCAACCGTTCTCTGACTTGTATCCCCATGTGATGTCTGTGTTGTGTGTGTAAGGTCGGGGGGCGGGTTCATTCCACTGCAGGGCAACCTGCATGTGGTAAATAAAATTTGAACTTGAACTTTAATTTCATGTAGATCAGAAGAGGTGTTATCTCGCTGACTTTTCTCAAAGCCAAAATAACCAATGTTTGACATTTTATTCTAAGCAAATTCTGAGCAGTAATGATACAAAGTTTATCTGAAAAATATAAATGCGTAAAAATCTAAACTCATTTAATAAATAACCTGTTCATGGCTCTGGTGAATCTTGATTCTAGGCAGGCAAAAACTGCACCTTAAAGTCAAATCACAAAACACTATCTCTAAGTAAGAGCACCACTTTAACTTTTACCATTGTTCATTCACAGTCATCTCGTACAGAGTAGGACAGGCTTTGTCCAATTGCTTCACATGATATACGGTTCTCACTTTTCATTTAATTTGTATGAAGGGAGCTTTTACCCACTCAAAAGCTATTAAAATGTCAAAAAAAACCATCAATGTGCTAAAAGTATGAGTAACCCGTCATTTGATTCAAGTGATGTTTTAGTTACACAAACCTCCAGTTATGTGATTGTATAAATGCAGTTTTTACTGCCAAGAAGAAAAAAGCAAAAACATTTCAGATTTCAAGGTTGCTGATGTACAAAGACAACATGTCATAACCACTTGGTATAAAATACAGACATTTAATTTTGCCATCTCTTAATTATTTTTTATGGGTTTGGCACTTCCACAAATTTATTTAATAGTCGACTTTAGTGAAACATTCTGTTATCATTGGCATCTTCAGACCAGAGGAACTGCAGGAACTGTTTAGCTAAATCACAATGTCACCACCTATGTTTACCATATCTATGAAGAATTACATTTTGGACATGCCTATTTGCACCTAATTCCATTCTGCAAAAATGAAAGTCAGATGTGATGAAACTTGTTGGGGAGTTTGGGCTTAGAAATAACCTATAAATAGCTACATGGTTAGAGTTTGCATGTTCTCCCCATGTTTGCGTGGGTTCTCCCCAGGTACTCCGGCTTCCTCCCACAGTCCTGTGTGGATAGGTTAATTAAAAAAATCTAAATTGCCCATAGGTGTGAATGCGGGAGTGAATGTGAGTGTGAGTGGTTGTCTGTCTCTGTGTGTTGGCCCTGCGACAGACTGGCGACCTGTCCAGGGTGTACCCCGCCTCTCGCCCTATGACTGCTGGGATAGGCACCAGCACCCCCCGCGACCCTGAAAAGGAAAAGCGGAAGCGAATGGATGTTTAATGTATAGAATCTGCACAGTATTACAGTGTGACTACACTTCCTCCTGTTTCCTCTTATGCCTTTCTAGGTTTCCAGAGCAAGCTGTGTCTGTGCTGAAAACCAGAAAACTGAGGGAAAAACTTCTCCAATCTCTGTTCCTTGACGAGACATACTGGGAAAGCCAAGGGGGTCGTCAGGGCATTGACAAGCTAATTGATGTTATCGAGAGGCGAGCAAAGGTCCTCCTCACCTACATCAATGCCCATGGGATTAAAGTGATATCAATGAATGTGTGATGAAGATAAATCTTTCATAAATCTTTTAAATCTTTTAGAAGACATTGGGGCTTTATGCTCGAACATTTTATAGGTTGGTTGGGATAAGAATAATAGCAGATGTGTGATATTTTTTAAATTTATATCACAATAGCTTGGTCATAGTTCCAATGAGGGACTTGCTAACGCTTCTTTGAGTAGCTGGAAGCTCAATTAGGGTCACACAACCCACACTGCACTGATAACAATGACTTTAATGAGTTGGGGTTTTTTTAAACTTTGTGTACCTTGAATACAATCTTATTTTGTTTTTTGTTAGGTTTTTTTTTTAAAAAAAAACCTATCTTTATTATTATTATTTCTTTTACAAAAGTTAAGAAGCTTTGCCTTGCCTATAATTTCCAGTTATTTAGGCACTTATAGTCACAATTAGAGCATGGACACAGTGACTATAAATTATCAAGTGAAAATTAGAAGTCATAAAATGATAATGATGATGAAAAAAGTTTTTACAGGATTCCATGCACTCCTGTGAAAAACCAAGTACACCCTATAGTTCACCTTGTAGAAAGTTGCAGCAAAAATCTTGGACTAATGCTTTCTGATATATACGACATTAATTCCAGAAAAGTTGGAAACTCTTTAAATGTAAATAAAAAAGAATGCAATAAGTTTTAGATCTACAAAACAAAACAGATTTTATTCACAATAGAACATCGAACGCATCGAAACTGGTGAAATGTCTGAACTGCAGGGAGGCCAGTTCAGGTCCCAGTCTCTTCTAATACAAAACCATTCTGTTGTAATATATGCATTATGCAGTTTAGCTTATACATTCAAGGCCTTCTATGCAAAAATGGGTCCCCTGAATGGGAACATTTGTCCAACTATATGTCTTTTATCACTGATAGTGCCTTTTCAGATGTGCAAGCTGCCAGTTCTACAGACAGTGATCAGGGCCACTCAGTGATTTCAGGTTGCATCCAAAATCCTGTAGATCAGCAGTCCATAACTTTTTTGCGCCACGAACCATTTTATGTCTGACAATATTTTCACGGACCGGCCTGTAAGGTGACGCCGATAAATACAACAAAAAAACAGCACCAGTGTAAAAAAAAAAAAAAAAAAAAAAAAAAAAGATTTATTCATAACACATGGGGAAAGACCTGAGTTAACGATAAAAGCGATAAAAAAAAAATGCTAAAAAAGCGATAAAAACTATAAATTTCACACCCAAGCCTCAACTCTTGCGGCCCCGTACCAAACGACTCATCGACCACCAGTCCGTGGCCCGGCAGTTGGGGATCGCTGCTATAGATGCAAAACAAGCCCAAACCATAACCCCTCCATCACCATGACAGTTGGTAGTTCATGGTTGGTATGAAATGCTTCTCCTGATGTTTTTTTTACTTAGTGCAGATGTTCCACATGTCCTGTAATTCGTTCAGAAGTAACTTTGCAAACCTCAGCTGTGCTGATGTGCTCTTTTTAGAAGAAAAAGGCTTTTTTCCTGCCAATCGTTCTAAACAGGTCATGAACATACAAGATTATGGCATTGTGCTTATACAAATCTGAATGCTCCAGACTAGGGACTTCTGCCTTTATAATGGTGGTGACACTTGGTGATGATCATTTAATCAAGTGCATTTGATTAGCAGCACCTGGAGGCTGCTTACCATCTTAATTCCTCGGAAAGCAGGTTGTACTCAGTTTTTCATAGTCCTGAGAAAGCTTTCTTTTTCACATGAGTGTATATGCACTATTATTTTAAATGTGCTTTCTTTTTGTATTTGGTAGTGCAATTCGAACATGGGATACATCAATAAAAGTAACTACTGCTGATAGAGTTATATTTCTTGAGTGAGTTATGCATAAACATAATTATATTTTACTGTGATTATAGAAATGGTTTGAAAATGATTTTGTCTTAGATAACAAAGCCACAATCAAAGAGTTATCATAATAAAATTTTATCTATAACATTTATCAGCAAATACATTTTTCCTACCTATTTCTACTTGATATCAATCAGGCCCAGACAGAAATAGTCTGTGGCTCAGAAATCCGATCCAGAGTGCGGAGTGTGCTTTTCAAGCTGTTGTAAACGCTATTCTTTGTGCTCTCAGAAATAGAGTCGATAGGGCTTTGTGGGCTATTTTCTCCTGTTCGTGCCTCGCATTCACTGTGCTGTTGTTTTAACCCTTTGCACCTGCATTAGTTTGTCAGTAGGTTTTATGCCTCTGGATGTTTGTCCAAGAAAAACCCCTCCAGCAAGAGCTGGAACAGTTTGCTCCTGTACCTACATTTGGTAATATAAGTGTACAAAACAAAAACATGTTTATAGTAATACAGATCAAGCCTTTACAGGTAGCTTCTTAAGTTAAAGTCTCTTCAAGTAGGCAAAAAGCATATACGTTTCTTTTTCACAGTAACAAACACATGGAGAAACAGTTTGTGCTTTAAATTAGCTAATAAAGAGGATCATTTGTGCAGAGGTTTAGGAAAGCTTATAAGGCTTATCTTCAGGAATGACTTGTTGAATGTATAACGTTATTCTGTCAGGTTCACACTTGTTTACACTGTGTGAACCAACCTTTTTGCTCTGTTTATGTTAAAGTTGCATTTTCTGTCTTCACCTCCTCTCCTTATCACAAGTTAGGGTTTTTCTCTTCGTCTTGTTTCCATGGGGGCATGGAATTTGAGAATAATTTGAAATGGTTCTTCGAAGCTGTGCCCAGCTGGCTGCTGGCAGGCCAGGCTAAAAACAAGATCCCAACAGAAGACTTCTTTATTGTTGCGACCTTGGATCAACCCTGATGACATCACTTTTCTCATTTCTAGCACTTGCTGTCCTCTGACTGTGTCAAAAATAAATAAATAAAATTAAAAAATGTAAATACAAATTCAGTGCCCACTAGCAATTGTGATATGACTGAATTTAAACAAACAAAATAAACAAAAAAACCCCTAAACTAAATATAAAACAAACCATTGCCATCCCGCCAGATCATCTCATAATATGAAGTCTGACTTTAACCTCCTAAGACCCGAACTCTTCCACAGCATGCATTTTTAATTTCTCTTTGATATTTGGGCATATTGGGGCCCGATGAATGTAAAAACAAAGAATTACCAGATTTTTTTTACCTTTTTTTGGTTTTAAGAAAAATAAGAGCCACATATGAGGATATTCGTTTAAAATTTTGATAGAACAGTAGCAGAATAATGTCCTCGTAAGTGGATATCAGGCCGTTGTAGAGCAACATTGAGTATTTTGGTCTAAATAACCCAAAATGTGATGTCCACATATGTGGACGGCAGGTCCTAGGAGGTTAAATATTTCATATTTATCCAATATTTAGTTTCCAATGGCTTACACCTTGTAATTTAGAATAATAAGCCATTTGTACCAGGTTAACAGTTTTTCCTGAGTTACTTGACATTTTATGGGCAGACATATATCCTCATTTCCCCATGACATTTTGGGGAACATTTATACCAAGCCTATTGTTCCTAATACCATGTTTCCAAGCAAAATGAATAAAGTAATTTAAGGCTTACAAATCTTATTATCTATTGCAAGCTTTTTAATAACCCCTTTATGTCTTCTGTATCCCAAAAAATCTTTAGCATTACACTGCACTTCATTGTGCAAAGAGACAGCACCTGGGAGGTTACTGTGGGAACACTGAAGAGGTAGATTACATGGGGCGATAACAAGAAAACTCAACGGATTGTCTCACTTTTGTCTACCTCAACACAAAAGCCAATAGACACAACAAAATGCTCCTGCCATGTTGACTCTACCACTGGTGAAGGACATTCTCCTTATGCTGATAAAGGAATTAAGAAAAAAGTTTGAACAGATGCCAACATATCTCAGATAAAGTCATGCCAACACTTGCTTCCTTCACCAAAAATACTTACAATCTGCCGCTTGGAGATTCATGGTTCATACACAAAGCGTGACAAAGAACCACCGTCTTTTCTGATTACTTTACCAGCATGTCCAAACTTCTTTTACAGGACTGGCGTGCTGCCAAGATCTTCTAATCACATTCTGTTCTTGGTAAAAAAAAAAGTTCAAGAGGATTTAACTCAGCTGTCCTGACTGGAAATATCTCATCCTACAAGTCTTACACTCTCACACTGAGTGTTTAAATTTCCCATCACTTGTCAGCCAATAAAACATCCATCTCCTTTCATAAATTCTTTTTCAGCTTCAGCCCAGTACAGACATTTACTCTATATTATTCATTTTAAAGCAGACCAAACAATATAGTTTTTCCTGTTGTTATGTCTGCAGCTTTTGTGCAAAGCTAATTATTAAAATGCCAAACTTGTTATCCTGTGTCAGTCAGTGCATTAGTGGTCACTTATGCCATTTAGTTTTAAGAAATAAATAGTGTAATTCGATAACCCTCTGGCACAAATAAGTCAGTGAGCAAAACAAATCTTCCTTTTGAGTTATCACTGTTGCTCAAATATAAATATGTAAACTGAGATGGGTCTCTGTCAGGTAAGAATGAAACCAAATGAAATAGTTTAATTAGTGGTGATTGGATATTTGTCAACGATCCCTTTACACATTTAACAAAGAGAAAAATGGCTGAGAAACTTCCAATTCCATTTGGTGAATTTGGACATTTTTCTTTTCCTGTAATAGGCCAAAGAGGAAAAAAAACAAGTGAGCAGCTTCCTATTGTGCAATAAGGTTTATCTTTGATAACATCCAGATAGGATTATATGGAATAGAATCACAGTGCTGCCAGCCCCAGGAAAAAGAAAAAGAAATCAGCTCTGGCATGCATATATAAGCTCTACATTTCCTGTTTACTTTTTATCTTCCTAATTTTCAAGGAGGTTTGCAGGTCAGGAGCAGTGCAGTGACAGATCAGTTTCCCATGGCGTTGATTTAAATTCAGTTTGTTGCTCAAGGTCATTTGAGCAGGACATCTGAGGTCATGGGGAATCAATCCAAGTGTCAGTCACATGAGAGCCTCTGCAGCCATTTGCCTGCCCCGATTTTATTTTGCAACTGTAATGGGAGCTTTTTTTTCTGTACACCTAATGCTGGTATTAGCTTATCCTGACCCTGGGAAGAAGAAAGATTTACTGCATTATTGCTTCGATACAGTCAGTTACTTGTAGGCAAGGCTGACATGGTTTTATAGAAAAAAAAAGAATCACAAAAAGTCTTGATCTTTCAATACAAAGCATTGTGTTAGATGTTAGATGAATGCAGAAACTGAATGATGTGATGGTAGTTTTTGAGAGGGTTTTTTTGCACCTGTGTTGAAGTCCTGTAGTATCTTAACACCTCTCTGCAAAAAGTGCAGTAAAGGCTTTAATCTTCCTTTATTGTGCATTGTCTTTGGTCTTTAAAATGTGCCATTTTTAGTGACACAGTGGTACAGGGATTAGTGCAAATATGCACGCTGTGTTAAACTGTTGGGTGCAAGTGTGACTTGTCTGTCTCTCTATGTTCCCTGTCCAAGGTGTACCCTGCTCCATGCCAAATGTCACCTGAGATTTATATAGAGTCTTCCTGATTCTTTTTAGACTGTCAATTACAGACAGTTAGGTTAAGTAGCTGACAGAAGGATTACAATTAATGAATACACTATTGGTGCAGATTTTATAAACTGTAGCTGGAAATGAAAAGTCATCATGCTGGTTGAAGTGTAAACCTGAGCAGAGAAATCTGAAGCTCTGGAACCAGATTAAAGGGATGAACGCACATGCTAGAGAATTGGGGTGAGGCATCCCCATGGACTGGCATCTCAAACATCTGCTCTCAGAGATATATGGGGCAGTCATGGGCTGGATATGTCACATTCTATATTTAGACAGCTTGTGATGAGAGAGGTGTGGCATGTAGAGCATGTAATAAAGTCTGAATGAGATCACTATGATTGATTACTCATGCTATTTAAGATTTCTGACACTTGATGGGATTTATTTATTTCTTTTTTTTACATTTTAGGCCCCCAATTAAGAAGGGAAGATAATGTAGGACCATCAAAGCCACATGCATTTAGCATCAGATCTATTAATGAGTCACTTGCTGATTATGAAAAACATGCACACAGTAAAGGTTTTTATAAG